TGGGTTTAAAAACTACATTCCAAGGAACAGGGCTCAGGATGTCGTAAGTAATGTAAACCCAGAAGACGTTGGGGCAGGCTTCCCCTACTCTGTAAAGTGGTGCAAGAGGAGAGTGGAGAAACTGTCACTCCCTTCTAGATGTCACCTCTTTTGTTAATGCAGATTTTCTTTCTCTCTGTTGCCCAGATTGTAACGACCTAAGACATAGATTCCATCCCATGACTGTCCTTTCCCTAAAACCACCAGATTGAGTGCCTCCTGTGTCCCAATTATAAAGTCCTCTTGTGTTTCTCTGGTGTTTGTATTCCCATAGTTGCAAATAAAAAGTGTATTTTTAGTTTTAGAATTTTCCTTTCCATTAAAAAAAATCCCCGAAGATTTGTGGCACCACTGTTATTTCTGTTAATGTCATTGCTTCCATAGCAGCGAGCTAAGATTTTGCAAGAAACTATGTTTACAAAAAAGCAGTTGTCTAAGTGAACACTATAGCTCCATGTAGCAAAGTTTCAGTTTAGATTTCCTACAACCATTACAGTACACACACACACACACACACACACCTTCCAATTTATGTTATAGACACAGTATAATTGGCTAAATTCTCTTGTCCATGGAATTGAGATGTAACTAGTTCTTTGGGTTTCTGTAACAGAATGAAAGGTCGATTGCCATTCTGAATGGCAAGGGGGATTCTTCCCTGCTCTCTATTCTCAGTGGGAGTAGAATATAAAATAAATGAGTTTGCATTGATATTTAAGCATTAGAGTAGATTTAAGGAAAATAAAAAATAGGAAACAAAGAAAAAAATTCTGATTTCCACAGCTCATTTTGCTCAGCATAAACCTTATGATATTTATTTTGTCTAAAAGGTGTTTTGCTGTCAGGATTTCAGTTGGTAGAACCATATCTTTAATTTAGGAGACTCCACATTTGCTTTACTATCTTCTAGGTCAGAGATTTCAGTGACTGTTCTATAGAGAAATAAAAATGTCTGTATGAATGGTCATTTCTAATTCTGTCTCACTCGGCATGAAATGACATGAGAACATTTAGAGAAATGATGCTAAGAAAGTCACTGCTGAGTTTTTATCTTCACGGGAGTTGGGTTGGCCTCAAAGTGTCCAAATGTGGCTTGGCGTTACAGATTTTCTCTGAAGAATGAATTCCAGAATCTTTCTGATAGATGTGGCCTGTGTTCAGTTCTACAGGTAAAAACCTAGCTGGGAAATAAAATTAGTATTTTTCTGCAGCATTTTCAAGCAGTGCTCTTTACTAAAATGATCCATAGCAACTTTTGGCCACAGAACTCTACAGCCGTTGTGCAGAAGGACAAGCAAAATAAGAGCAATGCACCACTTCCTCCCTTCCTGCTGAGACCTTACAGTTGCATGAAGAATACAGCCATGAATCCAGAGTAAAATAGATGGATACAAAGAAAAGAATCAAAGTGACACATGTTCAGCCAACTATGTTATATAATCAGGGGGCAGGAAGGGTCATTGATGCACGGTCTTGTTAGGTTGTCAAGGCTTAATTCTTATGAGAGACATTTTGAGGAATGAAGGCTATAATTTAGTGAGGAGGAAGAATTGCATGCCTTGGCTTCATCCAGCAAAATAGTGGCATCATAAAATCAGTAACTCTGCAGAAATTAAAAATTAAACTCACCATATCCATACTGCCTGAAAGCAAACCCTTAAAACTGTCTCATCTCACAGTCACCAAGCAAAAGTCTTTGTAAAATCATATTTTTTTTAAGATTTTTTTTTTAATGTGAGCCATTTTTAATGTCTTTATTGAATTTGTTGCAGTATTGCTTCTGTTTTGCTTTTTTCGCCACAGGGTGTGTGGCCAGTTCCTAGCTCCCTGATCAGGAATTGAACCCACACCCTCTACATGGGAAGGCGAAGTCTTAACTACTGGACGACCAGGGTGGTTGTTCAGTCGCTGTCCTGTCCTACTCTTTGCGACCCTATGGACTGCAGCACACCAGGCTTCCCCAGGGACATCCCTCTAAATCATTTTAGATTTTTCCCCAGCTATTCTAAAATTCAGTTTCCTTACCTGGAACTGAATCCTAGGATTCTTTAAAAAACATGCATTTTATAATTCAGGAAAATTGCCATAGGCAACAGAAATAAAAGTGGTGGAGCTCTCAGGAGACTGCAGAAAGGAAGGCCCCTGGGAGGAGAGGAAGATCACCAGCCGGGGTCCTGCGCTAGTGATGAGGGAGGGGCAAGCCCCAAAGGAGAGGGAGAAAAGTGCAGAGGGAGCTTCTTCTCCAGTGTCTGCTGTAGCAGGGGCCCCTAAGCCTCTCTCTGCATTGAGATAACTTTGGGGTAACCCGGAAGGTTGACGGAAACCACTCACCCTTCACCTCTGCAATACCTCAATTCAGTAGAACTGAAAACAGCTCATGTCTCAGTCCTGCAGCACAGAATACACAGGTCTTGTGTTCATTTAACAAAAAATAAACATGTATAGTTATGATTCATTTACTAAGTATTGAATTTGTTAAACAGCTATTCTATGTAGATATAAAAGAGGATATGGAAATTATAGTCCCTCTTTATACGGTTATGCTAAGCAGACTAGTGCCCCCCCCCCCCCAAAAGGCTATACCCTAGTCCCAGAAACCTATGAATCTGTTAGAGTGGAGAGTTAAAGAGAGTAGATAGAGTGCAGATGGCTAATCGGTGGACTTTAAGATAAAGAGATTATCTTGGTTTATCCAGGTAGATGCAAATGTCCTTTAAATGTGGAAGAGGGAAACAGAAAAGTGAATGTCAGAGAGAGAGATCATTTCAGAAAGGCTTAACTGGCCACTGCTGACTCTGAAGATGGAGCAAGGGGTCACCTGCCAAGGAATGTGGGCCTCTTCTAGATTCTGGAAAAGGCAAGAAAATAGATTCTCCCCTAGAGCCTTCAGAAGAACAGCAGTCTGACGACATCTAGATTTTAGCCCATCGAGACTCATGTCAGACTTCTGACCTCCTGAACTATAAGATAATAAATTTGTGTTGTTTTAAGCCACCAAGTTTATGGTAATTTGCTATAGGAGGCATAGAGAACTAGTGCAATTATGCTGTTGATTTCCTTTATATTGTGTCATAAATTCCCTTTTGCATTTGCTTCTTTGTTTTCTCTTGGTCTCCTTTCATGCTCAAGAATGTACCCTCTAGGAGGACAGGATCTGGCCTATGTGTTCTGGCCTATCTGGCCCAGCTGCACTCAGGAGCTGAGCGCATAACTTGGAATACACTGGCGCTCCATAAATGCTTCCTGAGTGTCTGGTGAATGATTGCATATGTAAAAGATGCTTAGAAATCATGCCTCTCTCTGGAGCTTCTGCAAGATACATACATAAGAAATAAGCAAGGAAAACTGAAGAGTAGCGAGGGATCAGACACCCAGAGGAAAAGTAGATGTGGACAGCAGAAAATATCAATTTCAAAACAATTAAGATTTAAATCCTCTGTGCTTGGAGAGAGTCCCATGCTACAGAAGAATGTAAGACTGTCGAAAGGAGCAGCATTTATACAGGAAGAAGACTGGTGGTGTTCAACCACAGAAAACTGTTAAAACCCTTTCTGAGACTGACTTACCAAAGTGCTATAAATCAGTTTTTATCAGGAGACAATAGAAAATGAAATTACCCTATGGCAATAAATACAGTGAAAAAAAAAAACTAGATGTGGCAGAGAAACTGGATAGAACATTCATTGTGAAATAAAATCAATATGTCAAAAATGTATATCCTGCTGAGGCTTTCACTGCCTTTGCCTGTAAATATTAACAAAGTGCTTTCCATGTTTGTTGCATCACAAAGAAGAAAAACCTCACATTTAAAAGCTCCCGAAAGTAAAAGCCATGGTGTTTTATGTGCTTTTCTTCATCTTCTTCATTAGTGGTTTGTAGGCACATCTTTTTAAAAAATTTTTATTGAAATATAGTTGATTTACAATATTGTGTTGGTTTTAGGTCTACAGCACAGTGATTCAGTTGAACAATGAAAAGTGAAAGTATTAGTCGCTCAGTCATGTCCGACTCTCTTGTGACCCCATGCGCTGTAGCCCGCCAGCCTCCTCTGTCCGTGGAATTGTCCAGGCAAGAATACTGGAGAGGGTAACTATTCCCTTCTCCAGGGAATCTTACTGACCCAAGAATTGAACCCAGGTCTCCCGCATTGCAGGCAGATTCTTTATCATCTGAGCCATACACATGTGTGTATATATATATACATATATATATATATAAATACATATATATTTTTATATATATTCTTTTTTACATCCTCTTCCATTATAAGTTATTATAAGATATTGAGTATAGTTCCCTATTCTATAGAGTAGGTACTTGCTGGTTATCTTTTTTATATGTAGTAATGTGTATATTTTAGCCCCAAACTCCTAATTTACTCCTTCCCCCACCCACCCTGCAGGCAGATTTTTAACCCTATCTTTGTTTTTGTTGCTTCACCCATCAATAAATATTAATCACTCTGCACTTAAACATCAAATTTCAATATTAAATGATTTAATACTTAACATAAACATTAAATTATTTAATTCTGCCTATGAGGTGGGTACCATGTATCCCTCTTTCTGTGAAAGTCACTCAGTTGTGTCCAACTCTTTGTGACCCCATGGACTTTATAGTCCATGGAATTCTCCAGGCCAGAATACTGGAGTGGGTAGCCATTTCCTTCTCCAGGGGGTCTTCCCAACCCAGGGATCAAACCCAGACCTCCCGCATTGCAGGCGAATTCATCACCAGCTGAACCACCTGGGAAGCCCTGTTTCTATAGACAAGGTCTTTGCAAAAGTGGGTCAGACAGTGAGTTAGTGGTGGAGCATGGGTTTCAGCCCAGACAGTCCACTTTCTTAGCTGAGAGTCCAGACCACTCCTTGGCTGCCCCTCAGCCCACCCTCCCCAGCAGACACTGGGCTGGGTCCTGGGCTAGACAGGTGAATATCAGCCCCTGGCCTCACGTGACTTACCCTGTAGGAGGAGAGGCATATCCCCGGTGAAGGAGACCACCACACAGCAAGCCGAGGCGTGAACACCAGGGCAGACAGACCCAGTCCCGGGAGCACCGGGAGCACCAGGAGCCGTCCACTGCAGGCTGCCAGTAACACTCTGTACCAAGAGCAAATGAATATTTGTAATGAAAAATATCTCTGTAAGTGCCTCGTCTGCAAATGTTAGGTGAGGTGGAGATTGATGAGATGTGATCTGAATGATTTTTTTTTACAAGTTTGCCTCATTTTATCACGCTTCGCAGATACTCTGTGGGTTTTTTTTTTTTTGAAGGAAAATAGATTATTAAGGAATGTGCAAGTCAAATACATGCTTAGCAATTTACATTCATGTTATATAAATTTACGTAAACTTTATACACTGAGTGATTTTTTAAAAATTCCAACAATAAGTTAATTCTCTACCTTTTTTTCCCCCTTCTTACAGTATGACACCTCCTCTGAATGTCTTTTGTCTAGCTCAGGGTTTCTCAGCCTCAGCAGTATTGCATATTTGAGGCAGATAGTTCTTGATTGTGGGGGAGGGGGTGCTGTGTCAGATGCTTAACAATGACCCCTCCCACCCCCAAGTGTGATAACCAAAAACGTCTCCAGACATCACTGAATGTCCCCTGGAGAGCAAAAGAGCCCTGGTTGAGAAGCATCAATAGTATTCTTGGAATTCCTTTGTGGCTCAGCTGGTAAAGAATCTGCCTGCATTGCGGGAGACCTGGGTTGAGAAGATACCCTGGAGAAGGGAGAGGCTCCCCACTCCACTATTCTGGCCAGGAGAATTCCAGGGACTGTATAGTCCATGGGGTCGCAAAGAGTCACACACGACTGAGCGGCTTTCACTTCACTTCTGAGAAGCACTGGTAGTTCCGATCCCACCAGTCCTTGAAGACCAGCTATCTGGCTGAGTACCTTGGCCATTCCCCTCACCACCCTCTCTTCTCAGCAGCCCTGGACAGTCTGAGAAGCTCAGCAGTTACATTTCGTATGTCCAGCCATCCCCCAGCCTCCACGCCCGCTGCCTGAGGATGGGAAGGCCCTCGTCACCGCGGGGGTCGGCCTGCCCTGAGCTCCCCAGTGCTCCACTCAAGGCTCGATTTGGGGTTTCCTCCTCACTCTGCCCACAGACCCTCCCCTCTGCCTCCCTGAGTTCTGAAGGTGTGCGGGCTTGGGGGCTCAAGAGCAGAAGAAAATAGGAAAACTGAGGTTAACAACTTTTGAGAAAAGGAAAGGAAAAATAGCTTGCAGTTGGATACCAGTTTCATTGGCTTTTACTGGGCAACATGCCTCAAGAAGTAACCTAATTTGGCATATATGAAAAAAAACAAAGAGTGCTCATCATGGCTACTTTCACAGAAAGTGTGAATGTAATTCTAGTCTATTTGAAGTTCTTTGTATTTCCTGGCATTCTCTGGAGGGTGATTCTTCCCTTCCGGATGGGGAAAAACAAATCTGAGACTTTATGAATTCTGTTTTAAAGATAAAATTATACAGTGAGGCACTTTGGGGCTTCCCAGGTGGCACTAGTGGTAAATAACCCGCCTGCCAATGCAGGAGACATAAGAGTCACGGGTTTGATCCCTGGGTTGGTAAGATCACCTGGAAGAGGGCATGGCAACCCACTCTTGCCACGGAGAATCCCGTGGATAGAGGAGCCTGGAAGGCTACAGTCCACAGGGTCACAAAGAGTCAGGCACAGCTTAAGCGGCTTAGCATGAGGTTAGCAAAGCAAATGGGAGGAAAGAGAGAAAGGTCAGGATGGAAGGAACCATCTAAAGTTAGAGGCTGGTTGAAGGTACGGATATGAACGGGGTCTGACACAGATCTGAAAGAAGGCTTCCAGGCGTGTGCTGAGCAAAGGGCCGACCAGAAGATGAATTGTGATCTGTTGATGAAAATGCCTCATTACTTTACCATTACACCTATTCAGTCCTCAAAACTCAATTGTGAAATGAAAGCGTGGGACCCTATGGCGCTGTGCTCTTGTGGAAAGAAGGTACTCTGTGTGATTGAAGATGTGTTCACACATCTAGGACAAGAGGTTCCTTGCGTTTAGCTCCCATTTGGACCAAAACTTCAGAGGCCCCTACTGTAGAGTACCAACATGGAGAGCAGACAGAATAGAAATCAAAGTGAATTTTAAAGGCATATATGCCCATCATAACATCTGGTCTCCTAAGACAGCAACTTGAGAAAGCAGAAAGACTTTGCTTTTAAACCAAGAAAAGCAGCCGTAATCTGTAAAGCCAAGGCTTCATGTGGATGGTGTGATGGAAGGTCTGGGGGAAGGAAACCAGAAGCAGCCATCTCCAGATCAATTTGTTAAAAGGCACTGTGATCCTAAGTCTTAACAAATAGCAAAATAGACCCCTAAATATCCCCTCTGAATTCCATACCCCTGAAGTGTTGCCTAGAGCTTTTGATTTCTTGCAGTAAAATTATAGTGAAGATAGATCTTTTTAAGGTCCTCAGTATTCTACTGTAGTAGAGTACAGTTTAAATATAATTGTATGTGTTTAATTACATTATTGCTCCACTTTATTAATCTACAAACAGTTATTGTGAGCTATCAAGTGCCAATTACTGTGCCTGGAGACATACAAATAAATAAATACCCTGTTGCTGACCTCAAGGCTCTTATTGTCTAGTGGAGAAAAAGACAAGGAAACTTAACAGTCCCAATGCAGATTTTTAGTGTCTTGACAGAGTGTGGTATGAGAAGAGTATCTGGAAAATTCCTTCTGAGAAGACATATTTAAAAAATAAAAATAATTGTTTAATTTTGTTGATTCAAGACTTTAAACAAATCTTTTTTAAGAATGCTTACAGCTCCCCACATAAATGAGGAAAGATGGGGTGTAATCAAATAGAAAGTTGGAACTGTAGAGCAACATAGCTCTTTCATGAGTGTTTGAATAATTGCCATAGCACTGAACAAAGAATAATAAAATATACAGCTGATTTTTCCTATTAAGAGAATTTGCCAAAACCTAATACAATCCTCTTGATATCTTGCCTCATAAAGTAACTGAAGGGAAATGCCTCCATGTTTTCATACATTTAATGCCACTAAGATATGTTACTGCCAAGGTATGCAAATAGCTCTGCCTGGCCTGGATTTAGGGGTGACAGGTTGAGTCTGGAATGCTCGTTGCTCTCAACATGCAGTAAAAAGAGCGCTAGGCTTGGGTCCTTACTGCCGGCCCGCTCTGCTGCTTACTATCTGCCGAGATTTCAGATAAGCCAGTTAACCTTTCTGACCCTCAGGTCCCTCCTGTGTAAGGTGGGGCTTTACAGGAGGACTCAATGAAATACAGGCTTATTTTTAGCCATTATATCTATTAATTAGCTTTTGGGTGAATGGATCTTCTCATGCATCAATTCAAGATTATACTCTAACTTTAGCATCATTACAAAATATGTGAATGGAAGCCTCTTCCTACCTCCTCACCCCACCCCGATCTATCCTCACTATGACCAAAATGATCTTATGAAACACAGAGGGATCATATCACTCTCCTAAGTGATACACTTAAGGTGTCTCCTCATCACTGTCCAGAGGAAACCCAGCACCTTGGAGCCCAGGTCCCTTCTGCTCTGGGGGTGAGGTGTGCCCATCTCCCCAGCTGACCTCTTGTGGCCCCTGGCACACCCTTGCTCAGCCAGGCTCACCATGCTCACTCCCTCTCTCCTCCATGTCTTTACACATGCTGCTCTCTCATGTGGGAATGCCCTTGACCCTGCTTCTTCACTGACAAATTCCTTCCAGTGAGTTCCTCAACATCCAGCTCAAGTCTTAACACCTTCCCTTGTGCTTTTCATGATATGCCATTATCTACCTCCCTAGTAAGTTTCTCTCCCTTAAATACTACTGTCCATGAGCTTATCCGTCTCCCTTGCTGACTCAGACTTTTCAAAGGCAGGGACCAGGGACCATCACACTTGGCCATTGCCTCACAACATGCTTGGAACATTGTTGGTCCAAGCATCCACTCTCACTTTTTTCCAAAATAATAGACTCTTATTTTTAGCTGCACACAGGGCCACCAGAAATTTTTAAAAAGCACAAAACCTTTATTTCCCAGTCCTCTTTACAGCTAGATAAGACACATGGTGAGGTTCTGACAAATAAGGTGAAAGTGGAAGTGTTTCGTGGAACTTCGAGGAAGGATTCTTAATAAGGGGTGACTCACCGGGGGAGGGGGTCTCCCTTGGCCTTCTGCTTGTTCTTTTTCTTCTGGCCTGAACTTTAGAAATGGTCATGAGAGTCTCAGAAGCCATTGGGTCATGAGGTGCACTTGACAATGTAAGTTAGGATGTCAGAGTAGAAAGGTAGAAAGACTCCATTCTCTGTTGTTCAGCAGCTAAGTCATGACCAACTCTTTGAAACCCCATGGACTGCAGCCAGGCTTCCCTATCCTTCACCGTCTCCTGGAGTTTGTTCAAGCTCATGTCCATTGAGTCGATGACGCCATCCAACCATCTCATCCTCTGCCACCCTCTTTCCCTTTTGCCATCAATCTTCCCCAGCATCAGGGTCTTTCCCAATGAGTCATCTCTTCGCATGAGTGGGCTGGTTCTCTGAAGACACTATTAATCCACTGTCCTGGCCTGTGGGCTTCTTTTCATGAGAGAGAACTGAATTGACGCTGGCAAGCAGTGGGCGGCACACATTTTCTGTGAAGGGACAGATAGTAAGTGCTTTAGGCTTTGTGGCCCATATAACCTCTGTCACAGCCGCTTGACTTCTGCCGTTGGAGTGCCAGGGCAGCCTTAGACAACACACCAACAGATGAGTGACTGTCTTCAAATAAAATTCTGGTTTACACAATTAGATAGATTGGAGCTTGCTAATCCCTTGCTCTGAGGCACTGAGATGTTGAGTCTTTATGATATGTGTAGCCAAATCTAACCTTAACTAATGCATCCTGTTGGGTGAGATGAAACATTTGATTTGGAGGGAAGAAATTGCCATGACCCTTGTTTCATTTTTTTTTCCCCCTAATGTTTTCTTTCAGAAGACTTTCTCCATTCCCTTCTCCTGATTGAATTATACAAAGTTCTGACATTGCTGTTTCCATACTCTTTTGATTATTAAGACCAGCTGGG